GCTTGGGTTGCTTTTTGGTCCAAAAGGCTTCTTCCTCTTTTTATTATTTTTGTGGAACATCCTCAACAATATTTTCTCTCATTATTGTTGAGTTTTCACGATCCTTCTTTACAGCAACTTTGTTGTCCTCTTCGATCCTCAACAGAACAATAAGATCTTCGAGCGACACCTCCTTGAATGTGTGCTTCAAGTAATTTTGAAATCCTTCCCCAAAGGAGGCAACTTCTCAATCATTACTGCAACTTGGAATGCTTTATTGATGAAAAGACCTTCAATGCAAATTATATTAGTAATAATAATATAATTAATACTTTCAACAGAAGTACTAATTTGGCTTATACCTTCAGCAAGGAGATCGTGAATAATCACTTGCAATTCTTAGAATTGGGTAATAACAGACCTGATATTTACCATTTTGTAGTCCAAAAATTTTGCGGCAACAAATTTTTTCAACCCGACATCTACAGTTTTGTATATCTTTTCAAGCGCAATCCATAATTCTTTTGACGTCTCCACATTACTATTGACGTTATACAGATCACCCTCCAATCCGCTAAGAATATAATTCTTGCACAAATAATCAGAATGTTTCCACGCCTCAATCATGAGAAAGTGTTCATTTTCTAGAGTTTCTGTAAAAAAATGACAGAAACAAATATTAAATATACAACAAATTTTTTATATCTTCAAACCGAATAAAACTGGAGTAGAAAATCATGTAGATTTTAATCTCCAATTGAGTAGAAAATCACTAGGATTTTAATCTCTAAATAACAGATAATAAACTAAAACAGAATATATGTTCAAGTAAACAATTGGAGTAGAAAACCACGAAGGCTTTAATCTCCAAAACGAGAATAGAAAATCAGACAGATTTTAGTCTCTAGAACAGTATGTATAACAAACATACAAAATATAAAATTAAGTTCCTTAAGCTTGTTGGTATACTGTATTTGTAAAATAATTTTGGAGAAGAAAACAACGTATAAACAGAAATGTAGAAGAAATAGAAATTAATCTGAGCCTACTAAATTCACAGTGTTTCCTTATGGAACTTAATCTCCTCATAGTACCTGAGGTTATAGATTATTTTATCCCAAGATAGAATGGATTACACATTGGTGTAGCGGTACTTTAAATCCCAGTGTTTTAACGAACACAAATGGCGGTAGCAAATCACACTTACGTTGTTTGTTTTGTAAGAAAACAATGCAGAAAGGAAGAGGAGAATTCAGAAATTTCGTAAGGAAAATCTGAGGAATGACCTTCTATATATAGCCAGCAGGTTGGGTTTAAATGAAGAGGTGCAACTCTTCAAGATGACCATTCACGTAAAATAACTATGGTTATTTACACAAAAATAAAACGGAAAAATAAAATCGGAGGAAAACTTTAAATTACTGTTATAAAAACGGTCGATTTGGAGTAAATATTATATTAATATTTAACAAAGCCGAAGCCGAAGCCGATCAAGCGACGATGACGGCGCGAGGCTTGCCTTCTTCTCAATTCTTTAAGAGCTAGAAGAGGTGTAATCATATATATACTCAACAAATGAGCTTTCCTCCTTCATTGTGGGACAATGTTCCTTTGTTAAGGAGGAAAACTCAAAATTTTATTTTTCCCTCCATTTCCATTCACCCTCTTTTAAGCTAAACCAAGCTTAAAAACCCAACATATATAAAATAGTTGTTACATCATGGTCTTATCTTCTTCTTTTTTACAGTAATATCTTGATTTTATCTAATTTGTGGTTGGTTAATCAAGAAATGGTATAGTAGTGTTCCACAATATAAAAATACACACAGTACCGACTACTAGCTTCAAAATTTGTTGTAATAAGATAAAAAATAACAAGTCAATTTTAATATGAGTCACTAATTGATTGAACCAATGATTAAAAGGATCTGGCTAAAATTGGAAGACTGTGATCGTTGTAAAACTTTATATTTACTTCGCTAAATTAGTGTAAAACCAGTGACGGAGGGGCTGGTGAGGCGGGGCAAGGACGATAGCATATGAGTTTCTAGACTGATAAGTTTTTAAAGAAGGAAAGTGTATAACAAATTAGTCAAATTCTCAGCGGAAAGGAAGAGAAAAATAATATAGTATAGAATACAAATTCACATGGTACACGTTCTTTTGGGACAAAGGAAACAATAGTACCATGCATGAGCTTAGGCTGCAATTAGAGGTGACAAAATGGTTAAAAGAAAATAGTTAACTATCCATATTATCCACTAAAAAATAGGTTGGATAATGAACTTCTTAAAACGGGTCAACTATGGATAAGAACCATATTATCCATTTAGAAAATGGATAATCAATGAGTCTAACTTTTACATTTATAAAGCCTCAAATTGGGGATTCCTCAAGTTAAAAAGACTAAAAATTCTCCCAAAAGTAATCATATGCAAGAAGTCATGGATAATATGGTTCCGGTTAACCATTTTTTATCCGTATTAAATATGGGTCGGGTCGGGTCAGATAATTTATCCGTTTTTTCATTACCCGTTATCGACCCGAACCATATCCGGCCCGACCCGCCTGTTTGCCACTCCTAGCTGCAATTAAGATTGGGGGTAGTGTATTACTTACGGACACGGACAAATCCATTAGCTTTTGCTTAAGCATTTTATTTGTATTAAAAAATCCATTAAATATATATAAATATTTTGTTGCGAATCTAGTAACTAAAATGAACTATAAATTTATAACAATTTCAGAACCCATAAATTTTAAATTCTAGCTCGACCTTTAATTATACCAAAGTAATATGGCTTCATAACCAAACTTTACCAATATGACGGTGAGACAAACCTAATCAAATAAGTATTATTGAACTCCCCCAAGTTTACTTACTTCGTGAACACTAGAATTCCATAATTTTAGAGTGGTTGACCTCATGCCCTCCTTTTGGCAAAGCCTTCACTATTTTTTTCGGATACAATTTTATACTAATCAAGCTGAAAATGTCCAAAAAGATGCTCCCTCCGTTTCATATTAAATAAGGTACTTTCTTTTTAGTCTGTTCTAAAACAAATGATACATTTCTAAATTTGGAAATAATTCAACTTTAAACTCGTTCATTTTACCCATTTACCCTTAATGAGAAACTTTTATAGCCACACAAATGTCATGACCCCACAAACTTTTTACTCTTTAAGCTTTTAAGATCACAAGTATCAAAAGTCTTTTTCTTTTTCATTAAACTTCGTGCAGTCAAACTACCTCATATAATATGAAATGGAGGGAGTAAATGAATAGAGTAACAAAATAAATGTTTGACCGATGGAGAAAATTAGAGAGGAAAATTTGGAAGATGTGATGGTTTTAACACATAGCTAGTTACTGTTATTGGCTTGGCATGGATGAAACAATGAGCAGCTAAGTGGACAAGAATCAACATTTCCCATTGGCGCACAAGTAAAAGTCTTAACAACTTAAATTGTTAATTTAATAACCTATTGATGTCACTTGTTTTGACCATCCAGTAAAATTCTAGTTATGTCCTTTTCTTTTCAACTCCGCATTAATTACTCTTCCATTTTCATGTTTTAGGTATGGAATACTTAAAAAGTGATAACAAACTTCTTTTCATTGGTGCTTGAGACACGAGGGAACTTAAGAATATATCTTAGCTGGCTTTAGTTTTGTCAGATATACTCGAACCCAAAGAGAAAAGGAATCTCTCTTCCTCCTCCAATTTATTGTTTTTATTTTGTTTTTCTGACCGGAAGAGAGTCTTGGCGTAACTGATAAAGTTGCCGTCATGTGATCAGGAGATCAAGAATTCGAGCCATGGAAATAGCCTCTTGCAGAAATGCAAGATAATGTTACGTATAATAGATCCTTATGATCCGGCCTTTCCCCGAACTCTGCATTAGCGAGAGCTTAGTGCACCAGACTGCCTTTTTTTTAATTTATTTATTGCAATTGCCATAAAAACCACAAAAGAAGTATCCCTAAGGAATTCTTCTTCCTTGGAGCAAGCTTATATGGATATTGTAATTTTCTTATCTCAGTTTCTAATTGCACAGGTGATGTCTTATAAGGGGCGGAGGTTCAGTATAACCTACATGGGTTCAGTCGAACCCAACAATCTGGTTCTTATATATGTGTTAAAAAATTTACTAGATATATAGAAATATTAAATTTCGAGCTCAGTAACTTAATTACTAAGTGAGTTTAGTATTGCTCTGAATTTATAAAGTTCGGATCTTGAATCCACATATCTCTTGTATATATTGAGTTTGGTTAATCCTATGAATATATTTAGGACAACTACTGATTTGCACCATAAAATGTCCTAAAATGTACTTCTACAGTAAATGTAAGATCTTCAAACACTTGAAAAAAAAGGTGTTGTCTGCTGTTCGAGCTTAGGGGGTAGGGGGAGAAAACTCCATTCAATTTAAGCCATGAACATCTTAATCTTCGATTATTCAAAGCTTTTTCTCACTCCTCTATATTCTTATAAGTGATGTCATTCTTTTTGTAATTAAGAATTTTCAAAACCAAAATAGAAAACGGAAAAAAAATTTGAAAATAACATGTCACATTAGGCAAAAGATTCCTCTTCGTTCTAGGAGAAGTTTTATTTTGTGTCTCATACAACTTACACTAGTTGTATGAGACTCCTTTTTGTCTCACAAATTTGTGGACCCCAATCTTACACTTTTGGGTCCACAGAAATCTGGGTCCACAAAACTGTGAGATAAAAAGGTTGCCTCATACAACTAGTGTCAGTTGTACGAGACACAAAATAAAATTTTCCTCATTTCTTGGCATTGAGTAATCATTTTTTTATTATTGTTTTAAAAGTGTTTACTAAGACAAGTTGCATCCACCACTACTACTACTTTGAAGTTTGAAACCCCTTTTCCGTCGTGTGTATATATAAATCCAACTCCCTTCCTTGATACTTGGAGAAGTAGTAACAAGCAACAAAATTGTCTTAAAACTTTAGACAAAATCCCCAATTATATTCCCTCTAAAAAATGGAGTATGAAAATTTTCAGCCAACTTACATGAATCCATTTCTTGAATATAGCAACTTAGAAACCACATTTTCTTTGAAAAATTCTAGTATTAACCCTCATTGTTCAATCCAAGATTTTGTGACTGTTGTTAACGATGTTGACATACAAGACTATTTCCAAAATGACTTCGATTTCATCGATCGAGATGTCGACTTTCCTGTCCAAAACTCCCAAAAATTTCCATTATTTTCAAGCCAAGTACTAGTCCAAGAAGATACAGGCTTCTTGAAAGAGGGTAAAAAATTACGTGTCTATAGTCCCGAACTCAAACTTCTTCAAGATCAGCTCATGGAAGAAACAAGTATCACTGATCTTCTTTTAATGGGAGCTGAAGCTATTGAAGCTGGAAATCTTGATCTTGCTTCTGTAGTTGTCTTGAGGCTAAATACAATCCTTTCTGATCAAGAAAATACAGAAAATTCCCCTATTGATAGATTGGCTTTGTATTTTACACAAGGCTTGCTTTACAAGAGCTTGAGTACTTCATCACATGAATTGTTGAACCAAAATCAATTTCAACCCGAGTCATCCTCTTCTATAACCGCGTTCCAAATGCTTCAAGAAATCTCACCTTATGTGAAATTTGCTCATTTCACCGCGAATCAAGCTATTCTTGAAGCCACAAAAGGGAGCCAACAAGTTCATATATTGGATTTTGACATTTTGGAAGGCATTCAATGGCCTCCATTGATGGTTGATTTGGTTGAAAGAGGGAATATAAATTCCTCCCTAAGGATCACTGCAGTTGTTGTTGACAAGAACAACTCATTCCTTGTACAAAAAACAGGGAAAAGACTTCAAGAATTTGCTGATTCTATCAATCTTCCTTTCATGTATGATCAAGTTTTCTTGACTAAAGATGAGGACTTAGAAAATATTCAAGGGGTAGAGAGTCATAACAACTTAATAGCTAATGTTATGATCCACCAACTTCACATACCACAAAGGGGAAGTTCATTAGTCAAGATTTTCTTCAATGGATTAAGAAGATTATCTCCTAAAGTTGTGGTCTTAGTAGAAGAAGAGCTCTTTAATTTAACTAAAATTCCAACCATGTCATTTGTTGAGTTCTTTTGTGAGGCTTTACATCATTACACTACAATATCTGATTCAATTCTTGGAGGTTTTGGTGGAGGATATAAATTAGCATTAAGGGTTATTGAGAAAGAGTTTTTGGGAGTTAGAATCTTAGATTGTGTAAGACAATTCCCTAGTGAGAAATCAGAAAGGGAAAAATGGAGTGAAGGGCTTTACTCTTTAAAAGGTTTTAGGCAAATTCCAATGAGTTCAAGTAATGTGAGACAAGCTAAACATTTGGTAAGTTTGTTTAGTGGAGGGTATTGGGTGCAAAATGAGCATTGCAAATTGGCCTTGTGTTGGAAATCAAGGCCTTTGACAACTGCTTCCATTTGGGTTCCTACATCATCAAGTTCTAGTCCTTCAAGTTCAATTTCTTTTTAACTTTTTTTCTTATAGATTTTTGAACTTTATTTAAATTTTGTGGGAATTGAATTAGATTAGAGGCATTAGATTATTTTACAATGTATGAAGTAGTCTTGGAATATGAATTCATGAGATTGTATTTCTTGATTATTATTCTAAGTGGGCTGTCCTTGCAACTTATGGCCAACACAAGAACTACGTACCTATTAATACGACAAAATGGCATGATATAACCATTTTTACGAGTGGTTATTGAAAAATATCTAGTGTTTGTTGAAAAATAGCCACTATTTAAGGTGGAGATAAAATCTGGACGAGAGTACCCTAGCGAAACACGGAAAGTTCCAGCATAATATGCTGGATTATGCAGCTCCTGCACGCCTATAAACTTCTAGCATATTATGTTGGAACTCCAGCACATTATGCTGGAATCTCATATGTAAACAATTCGAACTTCAGCACATTATGTTAAAATTTTTCGAATTTTTAAGAATATTTTGTTCATGTTTTATTTTCACATGAAAAGTGGCTAGATTTCAATTACTTTTAAAATTATGACTAATTTTCAATTAGCACTTATAAATCAAGCTATTTCTGATCCCCTTACAAATGATCTTTAACATTCATGAGGTGTATTTTAGGATCTGGCTCTTCATTACACCTTCTCTTCATTTCCTAAGTACATGTTTGAATGAGTGACATTTTTCATTTACAATTTAAGGTCTAAATTGAAATTAACAAGCATCTTAACTAATAGAATTTAAATCACATCTAGGGTTTATATCAAACTAATAAATACATATCATGTGTTTGTATATATACCTCTAGCACTTAACCAAGATTAAGTAATATGCATCCTCACCTTATTAAAATAGTTACAACAGTAAAAAAGAAGGCATTGGTGTCTTGGAACCAATTGTGTTTACCTAAGACAACTGGGGAATAAATATCACTGCAATTCTAAAACACTACTGGAACTTGTCTAAAAAAAAGACCAGTTGTGGATTCAGTTGTTACACACTTATTATATAAAAAGCAGGGACATAATTGATATGGATGCAAAGAATGCCTCGTGGACTATTCAAAAAATCATCACTATAAGAAGGAAAAAGCTGACATATAACAACCAAGCAAGCTCAGAGTAGGTGTTCATACCGTACTTGGCTATTCAAGAGAGATTATATACCAAGGAGGCAAGGATAGGATGATAAAATGGGGTATGGGGACTGTTCCTACGTGTGCACTATGTGAAGAAGAACATGAGACCCACCAACATTTATTCTTCAAGTGTAGATCATCTGCAAAGGTATGGCTATATATCATGAAGTGGCTTGGCGCATCAACAGAAATCCTATGGAATGAAGGGAAGAGATTAATTGGGCTAGCGTGCAAGCTAATGGAAAGAACGCGTTAGCAGAAATCTACAGAATGAGCTTGGCTTGTACAACTTATCAACTTTGGCAAGAGAGGAATTACAGAGTATTCCAACAAAAGAAGAGGACACCAGAAGAAATAGCAAGAACAATTTTGCAAGAAGTCCATTGTAGAGGTAGAATTAAGTCAAAGCTGGGAATTCACCTACATAAGTTAAACTTCTATCCGAGTCTGTAATATGGGTAGGGAAGTAGGCTGAAGATGAAGTAGATACAGTTAGTGATAGTTGATAGTGCCAGAGTTGGGATCTATGTCAACTCTAGGGTTTTTTTGATATACTTGTAAATTCTTCTTTCTATGGTAATAAAACTTGATAATTACCGGAAAAAAGTTAATTATAGTAAGTTATGGAAGATTTTGTTTTAAAAATCTTCCAAAAAATAGTTAAAATCTAAAACCTCTCTCTAGGATTTCTGTGAATAGTGACGCCGCCACTATTCACGACCCATAACTCCGGCGTCCGGCAAGGTAAGATCATAAGATTGGTCTCAAAAGAACCCCCTTCTATTAGAGAACAATCCCCATTTGGTTTCATCCTCAAATCCATAACCAATTTTTACAAATCTTAATTTTGGTCTCGAGTTTACTGTAGCATCCAGAATTTTTTCCGAATTTTTGCTTCATTTGATGTTCTTCGCGTCAATTATGTGATAGAAGCCATGGAAGCTGTCGTCTCTCCCCAGCTCCAAGCTGTGGGAGAGCAACCTCCAGTCCCTGTAAAGAATTTTCAAAATGATAGCACATCTTACGCTGCCCAGTTGTCTCAACCAAAATTAGCAGCAACATCGAATCTAAAAAACTTAAAACATATTGAAGTAATTCATGGAGTTCCAACAATTCAATTTTCAGTGGAAGAAAGGATGAAATTTGCAAAGGAGGAAGGTTTGCATCAAGGTATTGTAGTGAAACTTTCGTCGAATGCTCCAGATTTAACCGCATTGAGGAGTTTACTACCGAAAATTTTCGGCATCAAGGGACATGCTTTAATCGGGTAACTTGCACCTAGACAGTTGCTCATTAGGGTCGATCAACATGACGACTTCGTCAATTCACTTGCAAGGTCAGTTAACTATTTTAAATACAATGGTAGGGAGCACCAAATCAGGACATTCCCATGGTCTATTGGATTCAAAACAAATAAAGAAACAACAAAGGCAGTGGTTTGGATTTCCTTGCCTAATTTGCCAACTGAGTTGTTTGCAATGAAGGCTTTGTTGTCTATCGCTTCAGCTGTTGGCAAACCAATAGCCATCGACAAAGCAACTCAGACCAAGTCGCGTCCTAGTACTGCAAGGGTGAAGGTTATCCTTGATTTAATGGATAAACTTCCTGATAAAATAAAGTTGCAATTTCTGGACAAACAAACGAGCAGAATGGTTGAAGTTTTTCAAGAGTTTGTTTATGATAATTTGCCCTTATATTGAAACCATTGTAAACATCAAGGACATGATGAAAAAATATGTCGACGTTTGAATGAAATGGCAGTAGGAAGCAGGGCAGGTGAAGGAGTTGTTGTCGTGCAAAGTGAAGATCAGATAATGGATAATGAAGGTCAATCAGTTGAGAAATTTCAAGGGGATTTGAGGCAATTGCTTGATGAAAAAAGAAGAATGCAAGTTGTGACTGTGGCACCAGGTGTGCAAAATATTGTAAGTGGAAGTGATAAAATACCAGTTGAAACACAGAGAATTTCAGAGGATGTGCAAAATGTTGTGCAGGCTAATAATGATAAAATTGCTAATTGTGTTGCAATTGTGCAAACTACTAATGATGATGTGAATTCAGCTGGCTTGCATGGGAAATCAACTGAAGGTGTTCAAAGATAGGAGGTTCGACTTTAAGCTACACATGGTATAGACCAACATGGTGTGCAAAATAAAGGAGGCAATCAGGTTTTTACTGGAATTTCAAAGAGTGCTGAAGGGGTTGAGGTTGAAGATGTTGATCGAGATGGTGAGTCTGTGCAATTTAAAGCATGTGGTGACCCAATTATACAGGCTTCTAACTCTGCAACTGTCTTGCCAAATGATACATGCCAAAAGGCTGTTGGTGATCGAGTTGGTGCATCTGCACAAATAGATGGGCTTAGAGATGCTGAAGTCCAGACCTTAGGCCTTAAATGGACTGGGCAAAAGGATGTGCAGTTGAAAGTTAAAGCTGGTAATGAAGAGATGGTTGATCAATGTGATGAGAGAAACGAAAAAGGTGAAAAATGGAACATAGTTTCTGCTAGAAAATCACCTGCTAAGAAGGTTGTATCGCCCAGGCAAAAATCTGCAGGCAATCAACAAAATGCTTCGAACTGTGTCTCTAACTCAAATAACTTTGAAGTTCTGGCAGTTGTGGATGATGGGAAACTAACTTCAACAGATGGTGCTACAATGAATGACTCAAAAGATAGTCATTTTAGTCAGCAAATAGTCCCAGTTGCAAGCAGTAACAAGGAAGGCAGAACCAGCACTCCTACGCTGCATTTTTCCAATCCTCAAGTGGAGAAAATTATCAAAGAATCACAGATTGAAATGAGTTTGAATGTAAACTCTATGTTCAAGCAACCGTTGGTCACCTTGAACACATCGATGTATGATATTCCCTTTCAATCTTTTGGTGAGCATGGGGTGAATCTGGGAAACCATCAATCTCCACTGGCAATAACAAAAAAATAATTCAAGCAAAGGTGAGAGAGATGGTTATTAACTCGAAACTGTGGAACGACCAACGAGAGTATGATAATGAGGAGGGCTGGGGTGACGGAAATGCTGGTTTTTCATCTGAAGAAGATGACCAAGAGGATGATCAGGATAGTGCATGAGTGGACATTAATGCTCCAGTCAAGCCAAAGTTTCAGGGGAAATCTTCAGCACCCAAGAACAATTTGAATTGTCATGCACTTGCGGCACCTGCAACAAGTCCCAACAGCAAGTTGAACCATAATGCTCCAGTTTTTGTTCCAAGAATTTCTGCAAATGCAGAAGCAACAAACTTGGGTCAAAAGGCAACATGAGATAATGTGCAACAACAACAATGCTCAGGTGAATATTCTGCTGGTGATTGAAAAGCAACAGTAGTGCCAAAATCTGGGCAGAATCAAATTGAAACAACTGAGCCACTCATTTCATTGGAGGAGAGGAAACTTTTGGATGCAATGGTAAGCTCTACTCCTCTAAAATCCTTAAATCCTGATACGCTTAGCACTGGTCCTGTAAGTAAGAGCAGGAAAAAAATGCAAAACATAGGACAACAACAAAGTAAGACAATCGTGAACGACACAAAGAGGAGATGCCTTAGTGACACTCGATATCGTTCAAAGTTCTCCACAACCTGTTAATTTGGGGAGTGAATTTTTTGAACAAGGAGAAGAAGAAGCAATGTTACAAGAATGTCGTGCACATGCATCAAGAAAAGGGGATCTATCACCAAGGCATAGCGGCAAAGGTAAAAAGACTCATACAAGAAAAAATAGTTGGGACGACAAGGTTAGTGATTTTTTAAATGTTAGGCGACCTCCAATGAGAAATTCCAAACAAAAGCAGGTCTCCCCAACTACATCAACAAGGTCCAATCGTTCTAAAAATAAATCATGA